GATCGACAGATAGATAGATAGATCAACAGATAGATAGATAGATCGACAGATAGATAGATAGATAGATAGATAGATCGACAGATAGATCGACAGATAGATCAACAGATAGCTAGATAGATAGATAGATAGATCAACAGATAGATAGATAGATAGATATATAGATAGATAGATCAACAGATAGATAGATAGATCAACAGATAGATAGATAGATAGATAGATAGATAGACAGATAGATCGACAGATAGATAGATAGATAAACAGATAGATAGACAGATAGACAAATAGATAGATAGATAGATAGATAGATAGATAGATAGATAGATAGATAGATAGATAGATAGATAGATAGATAGATAGATAGATAGATAGATAGATAGCTCAAACAATTTGGTCTTGGAAAAAATAGTTATTGTGGTGTCTAACTTTAAAGATTTTCCCCATTAGAAAGATCAGAGTCTTCATTTGAGCTCGATTTAATCTCATTGCTATCTAGAAGAAACGATTGAGACCTTGAAGAGATCTCTGTGAGTTTCCTTTCCTATGGAAACACAGCTATTTTCGTTTAGGTGCAAACAACTACGCAAAATACACTCCATGCTCTGCAAAGTCTTATAAAATGTGTCAGTGCTGTATAATCACACACTAAAGCTTTGCTGGTGTCACACAATCGGATGAAAGTGCAGTGGATGGATCAATACAACCAGTGATGATGATGGTGATGATGGTGATGATGGCGTCTCAGTTGATCCAGGCGTACGAGTAGAAGCCGTTCTCCTCCCACAGGTCACACCTCTCGCGAGAGTAGCTTGTTACGAAAGAAATGTTCTTGTCCAGCAGGGCGATGCTTGAGGGGAACTCCGGCCACTCATCTGGCATCCTACCTGTGAGGTTACGAAGAGTTTTGGAACGTTAGAGGCAAGATTTGATCACACTGATCACATACATTTTTATGTAGTTGCTGAAATAAAACAAATCTTTTATTCAACAAGCATGCATTATATTGATCAAAAGTATAATATTACAAAATAATATATGTAGCAGCACTACTTATATTGCATAAAACTTATATTGAAAATTTATCAAACTCTTGTTAACGTTTTATTGAAGAAAACTGTATTTCGATAATTATCGTTATTGTTTTATCGCCCAGCACTACAAGAAGTATTAACCTCCTTTAGCCGTGTGGAGCACTTTTAATGATGGATGGATGCACTTTTTTGGACTTCAAAATCTCAACCATTCACTGCAATTATAAAGCTTGGAAGAGCCAGGACATTTTTTAATATAACCCCGACTGGATTTGTTTGAAAGAAGAAAGTCATATACACCTAGGATGGCTAGAGGGTGAGTAAATGTGCGGTAATTTTCATTTTGGGGTGAACTATCCCTTTAACTGAGAAAACCAGCTGTTGACTAGTTTTGGATATCAGACAAAATCTTCTGTTGGGATCTGATCCAACATTCCTGGTCTTGTCTTGGCAGTGGCATCGTGGTGTGTTGCTAGTCGTCCCATGATGCATTGCGAATGACAAATGAATCAGAAACAACAGTATGTTATAAAACATTTAACTATTTAGTCATTATAATAAAAGTATAATAAGCATATTGGATTTTCCACAGATTGTGGCTTAACAGAAGTGTTTAATTAAAAACTTCAGAGCTCATGGGACGGTTTTCTTAAAATGTTTCTATTATATCAATGAAAAATGTTGAAAAAAAAGAGAAAAAATATAGGATATTTTAATTCCAGAACCATGCTATTGCACTTTTGTTCAATTTATTTTCATTGATGAAAACAATGTTGCATAATAGATGCACTATCACTTCAGTTTGGGCTCAGTAAATAAAAAAATGTATCTTATGCTCACAAGAGTTGCATTTATTTGATCAAAATACAGTATAAAGACATTGACACTATGAAATATTATTACAATTTAAGATAGCTGTCTTCTATTGTAATATATTTTAAAATGTAATTTATTCCTGTGATGCAAAGCTGAATTTTCAGCATCATTACTCCAGTCTTCCGTGTCACATGATCTTCAGAAAGCATTCTAATATTCGCTTGTTCAATTTATTTTCATTGATGAAAACAATGTTGCATAATAGATGCACTATCACTTCAGTTTGGGGTCAGTAAATTAAAAAATGTATCTTATGCTCACAAGAGTTGCATTTATTTGATCAAAATACAGTATAAAGACATTGACACTATGAAATATTATTACAATTTAAGATAGCTGTCTTCTATTGTAATATATTGTAAAATGTAATTTATTCCTGTGATGCAAAGCTGAATTTTCAGCATCATTACTCCAGTCTTCCGTGTCACATGATCTTCAGAAAGCATTCTAATATTCGGATTTTCTGCCCAAGAAACATTTTTTATTATTAATTTTGAAAACAGTAGTGCTGCTACATATATTATTTTGTAATATTATACTTTTGATCAATATAATGCATGCTTGTTGAATAAAAGATTTGTTTTATTTCAGCAACTACATAAAAATCTCACTGACCCCAAACCTTTGAACGGTAGCGAATGTACTCAACATTAAATCTCAAGAAATAGGGTCAAGCATTTACTATAGATTTCAACTGTTATATTAGTAGTATGGGAAATCTCACATTACCTTCTTTGGCAAAATGTACAAAATACTTGGTGATCATTTCCTGGAAGCTGATATCAGCCGGTAACAGGGTCCCCAGCACCATTTCAAGACCCCTGAAGAAGGCCAGGCTGTCTAGAAGATGAAAGGCAAAGCGACCGGGGAAGGGAAGCCAGCTGGAGGCGTTTGCCTGTTTTGATGGAGTGTAAGTTACCAGATAACGGTACACTGGGCTCTTTAAGGCTCCTGGAATACATGAGACATCAATGCAAAGATTTCGTTTTAAACAACTGACTATGGATCACAAATTTAAGCATAATGGACAGTCAATAGCAGAGTGGTCGTGTATCATCCTGAATGGGTTTATTTTGAGGTAATGACCAGCTCACTGTTCATTATCCTGCTTATTATACAGCCAC